AAGATGATGTGATACACACACACATACACACACACACACACACACAAAGGAATACTATGCAGCCATCAAAAACCCCTGAAATCTTGCCATTTGCAACAATGTGGATGGAACTAGAGAGCATTATGCTAAGCGAAATAAGTCAATCAGAGAAACATAATTATCATATGATCTCTCTGATATGAGGAATTTGAGGGGCAGGGAGGGGGGTTATGGGGAAAGGGAGGGAAAAATGAAACAAGATGGGATCGGGAGGGAGACGAACCATAAGAGCCTCTTAATCTCAGGAAACAAGCTGAGGGTTGCTTGGGGTTTGGAGGGGATGGATAGGGTGGTTGGGTTATGGACATTGGGGAGGGTATGTGCTATGGTGAGTGCTATGAATTGTGTAAGACTGATGATTCAGAGACCAATACCCCTGAAGCAAATAATACATTATATATTAATTAAAAAAAATTAAAACAATAAATGTGTTATGTAATATTGGTATACCTAATATTTTTAAAAATTTACTGCTTATTAAAAAACATTTGCAAATAGCCTTCACCAAACTTATGAATATATGGTCCATTCATTCATTGTCACCTGTTCACCAGGCATTTCACTGTGTCACCAAGTGCTAAATGCTAATTGAGACACTGGAGATGGGCTGTGTGGTGAGGAAAGCCAAACAAAGTAACTTTCTGTTCTAACGGGGGTTAACCCCTTACATTAAGGGGCTAGTCAGATGATAAGCAAATCAGGAATAAATATGTAACCCACACCTTGAGAAAGAGCCCGAGACCAGTTTTCAAGGGTGAGCTCTTAAATGCTGAGAAGAAAATAAAATAGAGGAAGGGACGAAATGTGATGGGGAATTTTGTATTAATTTGTCAAGGAAGTCCCTCTGATAAGGTGATAACTGGGCAGAGACCTGAATGAAGTGAGGAATGTGGCACAAAAAACACTGAGGAAAGAGATGGACCTAGGGGTATTTTGCTAAACGAAGTAAGACAGATAAAGACAAATACCATATCATTTCACTTATATGTGGAATCCAAAAAATAAAACAAATGAAAAAAGAACCAGAGCAGGAACAGACCAAAAAACACAGAATAAACAGGCGGTTGCCAGGTGGAGGAGGGTAGAGGGATGGGGGAAAAGGAGGGGAATGAAAGGTACAGCCTTGGGAATATGGTCAGTCAGTGGTACTATAATAATGTTATATGATGATGGATGCGGGCCACAGTTGTGGTGAGCATAGTATGATGTACAGACTTGTCCAACCACTATGTTATACACCTGAAACTAATGTCATATTTTGTTAACTATACTTCAATTTAAAAAAATTAAAAACAAAAAAACATTGGGGAAAGATTTCTAGGCAGAGAAAACAGCAACCAGAAGGTCTGAAACATTCTAAAAAGTCCCAACTTGAATTTGAAAAACCTAGGCTTTTTCAAAAATATTGGAGGCTGTCACATAGCTGAAGCTTTCTTTCCTTTCTAAGCTCCTTTGAATATCAGAATCCTACTCACCGCCTGCTCCCCTGGACTTCTATAGCAGAATTCAACTGGTAACTAAACACTTTGTTTTGGTGGTTGACTGAGTCTGATCTCCTTGACTGGATTGTAAACTTAAGAACAAGGATCATAGTTTATGCTATTTCTGCCATCAACTCCCCACCTCTACCCTACATGCCCTGGTGCTGAACATGTATTGGGATTTTTTTTTTTTTTTTTTTTTTTTACAAATTTATTTATTTATTTGAGAGAGAGTGTGGTGGAGAGGCAGAAGGAGAGGGAGAGAGAGAGTCTCCAGCAGACTGCCCATTCAGCATGGAGCCAGACCCAGGTCTTGATCCCAGGATTCTGAGATCATGACCTGAGCCAAAACCAAGAGTAGGGCGCTTAACCAACAGAGCCACCCAAGTACCCCTGTGTGGTAGTCTTCATAAGATACTGGATTAATCAGGGCACCTGGGTGGCTCAGTGGTTTAAGCCTCTGCCTTCGGCTCAGGTCATGATCTCAGGATTCTGGGATCGAGTCCCACATCAGGCTCTCTGCTCAGCAGGGAGCCTGCTTCCCTCTCTCTGCCTGCCTCTCTGCCTACTTATGATCTCTCTCTGTCAAATAAATAAATTCTTTAAAAAAAAAAGATACTGGATTAATCAAAAATGCATCTGCAAATTTTTTTTGCAATTTAAAGTTTTTAATAAGAAAAGTTTCTTTGTCAAGATTCTCTGGATGATTCACTATTAGGATTAATAATAATCACTATTATTTCAATTTGCAATTGTATGTATTCCCCCCACATATACATACGCTTACTTGAAAGGAGAAAAACAGAACAAATGAGGAGCTATATTAAAAGGCTTTATTCACAATAGAGAAATTTTACAAATATAGTTTTTAAAAATTATGTGTCAATCTATTATGTTTTCTATAACATTAGAGATTTATATAAAGTCAGAAATGACAGAATATGCTTATGTACAAATTAAAAACAATCAATGAAAAGAATGGGTACTACATATGAAGGAGTCATGACAAACATCATTGTTCTATAAATTTCATACAACTTATATATGTAATATTAAGTGTGCACAGTATACCAAAAACATACGCAGAAACACAAACTTAAGTGCTATTTTAATTATCCTCCTTTCAGGATGTGAATACATATGTAAACTTAACTGCACAGTTTTGCTGAAAATGAAAGACATTGCCTACCTAAGGACTTCAGTTGTTTAAAATAATTAACAGAAAATATAACTAATTAAATTACATCACCATAATAATCTCGTTTACATTTTTGGTGTTTTGGGGCCTAGGTTAAAAAATCCATGTTTTAGAATTGAAAATCTTTGTTCTTGCCACTGGCAGAGCAAAATGTAGTACAATCATCTTGCCTATTTATATCAGGATACAAAAGTTACATTATAGTGCAGTGCGTACATATGACCTGATTTTAATATCCTATCTGCTACAGAAACACGTATCAGCTTTGTGCTCTTTCAAATCAAATTGAACATCAAAGAAAAAGGATTTTAAATTGCTAGTCCAAGGACATTCATGTGAAAATTATCATTTAAATACATATAATCAATTTTTGCAACATGTTTTTGCAACATGTTGCACACGTTGCTTTTAAGTCCTGGGGAAAAAAGGACTCTCAACTATCCATTCATATCATAAGGTGAGCTGAAGATATGAGTGGAAGGAGTTATTCTGGGTCATAAGAACTCATTAATGTGGACAATAATGATGCACTAAATGATCTTTTTCATTTACAATTTTATTCATTTATTCTTTGACGTAAACCAATGTACAGTGGTGAAAAAAGAGCAGGTCACACAGGTGGTCCTTTCAGACAAAAAAAATCTTTTGAAACACTTTCAAAAGCTGAAACAGCTAAAGACAATTGAGTCTAATGGGATCTAAGAAAATAATTAAAAAACATTATGTTGAAGCATATGAAATTGCTGATATGGGACTATATCTCAACTACAAGTACAGCGATTTCACATGCTTCAGCCTAATTCACGGGTCTGCACTGAGCTATCTGGCCAATCTAGGTTGAAAATGCAGGTGCTCAAAGTCTCTGTTCCTTAGTATATGAATCATCACATTAGCCCTTTCTAGGAATATTCCATATGTATATATATTATTCCATATATATCTATTCCATATGTATATATATGGAATATGAACTAATACAATGAGAAAGGACAAGGTGCCACCAAATGTATTCTTGGGAAAGCCACTCATATCTCAAAGTAATGCTTATTCTTAATGAAGAATCATGTAATTATTTGGTTGGCTATATGACTGGGGGATTAGGAATGTCTATTCTTATATATTGCTTTTAAGCTGGGATCTCTGAATTGAATTTGACCAGATAAAATGTACTATATTCTTATTTAGCCTAAAAGTTTATTAGCTTTTCTTCAATTGACCATGAATAGGCACATTAACAAAGCTTCTTTCAGAGTTAAGTTCTGCTTTCACAAACTGAAATGAAATAATTTATCACATTTGAGAAAGGGCCCTTTTCAAATCTGGAAAAAAATCTGAACCAAAGGTAATGCTTTTTTTGAGAACATGAAAGAAACCTAAAGACAAAATACAAACTAAAAACCATGTTAAATACTCACCCTTTCTTTAGAGAGACTGAATTTCTTTATATGCTCAGTTAAAAGCAAAAGCAAACACATTAAAAGTTATATTGTTTTCTTTCAAAAATATAATTCAGTAATAGCAGAGCTCTGCAAAACTTGAAAGCTCCATTCGTGTGGTAGGGGATGGAAGAAATTAACCAGGACATGATCCAGAAATGACACAGGGCATGTAAAGTAAAATTTGAGAGCTAATTCACAAATTAGGAAACACTAATATAATTAACCAACAAAAATATACTGTGGTTCCAATGAAATGAGGTCAACATGAGATGATCCTTTGAGATGACATTCTAATTTGAATTACAATGTGAGTGAAGTATTTTAGAAGACATTCTATCAAATAATGATAGACCCGCATAAAGAGGCTGTCTGTCACAGTTATAAGATCTGTCTCTGGTGGATAGACAAACCAGATTAACATAAAATTGAAAAGGAAAAAGCTTTTTTAATATTTAATTTATTATTATGGCTTTTTGCAACATGGCAAAACATTACAGCTTAAAGCAGACGTCATCTCCTCATAGAGGAGGAAAAAGTTTTGCAGTCAAATCGAAATTGTAATTAAGAGGTCACTGGTATACCATTCTATTCAGTGTAATAAAAATGATGTACCTTCATGAACTCCAGAGATTACTTAAGAAAAAGTAAAAACCTGTGATCCACTGACTGAATAATAAAGGCTATGATAAGGAATTTAGGACCATCTATGCCTATGATAATAAACATAAAAGACTGCAAAACAATTTTAGAACTTAGAATAATCACAGACTTATTGATAAAAATTAATCATGTGCCTGAATACCAGAAAAGGAATTATTAAGGTATGCAGTGAAGGGAATGGAGCAGAGTAAAATATAAAATGTCTTTTTATTTTTCATTGACTTCGACTTCCTTTTTATTCGTACAGAGTATAGGGAGAAGATGTGCCTCGGTATTGAAGATCCAGTGTTCCAGCGGAAGGAGATCGTCATCCGAAAATATTAAGTACAGGTATCTGGAGAGAGAAACATGCGTATATGAGGCCCAAGAGACTGTCAGGCAGTGACAGCATAAAGACACAGCCATGTCTCCACTCATCTTATGGAGAATCACGGACAGCCGTCAAGTATTGCAAAACCCTGAGGCGATACAGTCACTACTGTGGAATGAAGAAGCTGCCCTGTGCTTGGGTGTTAGTATAGGAAAACCAACTGAGCAGTCCCCAGGCATCAGACATACACTGACTGGGAACACAGGCACAGTCATTGCCACGCATGGAGAGAGACCTTTGGAAGCAGTCAGACTTGCTATTATTTGAATGTGCTCCTGATAAAGGCAACTGCAAAGATCTGACCAGGTACCCCAGCCACATACTTTTGGAAGCTGTTTCACTTACTTTAGTGTCTCTGCCAGGAAGAAACTCTGCTGCACGTCATCGTAACTCTCGTGTCTCTGGTAAACATCCCTGAGGCCTGAATAGCCTCCGTTCACTCGGCAGTGATTTTCCAGGGCCTACGTTACAAGGAAGGGGGGGGGGGGGACACATTTCAGTACATTGCTTGTCACCAATTTTTATCATGAAACTGCCAAATTGAAATAAAAAGAAGGATTCAAGTTGAATGATACATGTAGAAGAGTTTTAGGCAAAAATTAAAAAAAACCCCACAAAATGCAAATGAATATAAAGTATGAAAAGTGAGGCTGCCTGGGGGGCTCAGTTGGTTGTGTCTCCTTTGCCTCAGGTCATGATCCCAGGGTCCTGGGATCGAGTCCCACATTGGGCTCCCTGCTCAGCCGGGAGGCTGTTTCTCCTTCTGTGCTCTCCCACCTCTCTCTCAAATAAATAAATAAAATCTTAAAAAAAAATAAAGGACGGAAAGTTAAAGACTATACAGATAATATATCTCATCTAATTAGAAACACTTCTACATTTAATTATGAAATAATTTTTCAGTGATTTTTTTTTTTTAATCATTTCCTTCTGTGGTCTAGAGCAGGGTTTATCAAACTAGGGATGACAGGCTAAAACCAATCTGCTGTTCATTTTGTAAATAAAATGTTAACTGAACCATGGCCATGCTCATTTGTTTACATACTGTCTGTGGCTCCTATTTCATTACAACGGCAGAGTTGACTACAGGTAAACCTTGGGGACATTGTGGTTTTGGTTCCAGTCCACTACAATAAGTGAATATCGTGATAAAGTGAGGCAGGTGAATATTTTGGTTTCTCAGTGCCACAGCAGTTGACAGTTTCTTTAACAAATGATTTCTCTGCAGCACACAATGCTGCACTTTACCCATGGTAGCACCTCTTTGAAAATTGGAGTCAATCCTCTCAAACTTGCGGCTGCTCTCTCAACTAAGTTTATGCAATACTCAAATTCTCGGTGGTCATTTCAACAATCTTCATAGCATTTTCACAAGGAGTAGAGTCCATCTCAAGAAACCATTCTTTGCTCATCCAGAAAAAGCAATTCACCATCTGTTTTAAGTTTTATCATGAGATTTGGCAATTCAGTCACATCTTTTAATTTTAGTTCTCTTGTTATTTCCATCACATCTGCAGTTACTTCCTCCTCTGAAGTCTTGAACTCCTCAAAGTCATCTGTGAGGGTAGGTATCAGCTTCTTTCAAAGCCCTGTTAATGTTGATATTTTGACCTCTTCTATAAATGATGAATGCTCTTGATGGCCTCTAAAATGGTGGTTCTACCACCACTGAATACCACAAGGTTTTCAATGGACTTTGCCCAGATTCATCAGAGGAATCACTATGTATGGCAACTATAGCCTTACAAAATGTATTTCCTAAATGCTTAAAGTCAAAATGCTCCTTGACTGGTGGGCTGCAGCATGGATGCTCTGTTAGCAGGCATGAAAACATTCATCTCATTGTCCATCTCCATCACAGCTCTCAGGTGACGGGGTACACTGTCAATGAGCAGTCATATTTTGAAAGGAAATTTTTTTTTTTCTGAGCAGTAGGTCTCAAATGCAGGCTTAAAATATTCAGGAAACCATACCATCAACACGTGAGCTGTTACCCAGGCTTTGTTGTTCCATTTATAGAGCACAGGCAGAGTAGATTTAGCATAATTCTTAGAGCCCCTAGGATTTTTGAAATGATAAATGAGCACTGCCTTCAACTTCAAGTCACCAGCTCCATTAACCCCTAACAAATGAGTCAGCCTGTCTTTTGAAGCTTTGAAGCCAGGCATAGACTTCTCTCCAGTTATGAAAGTCCTAGATGGCATCTTCTTCCAGTAGAAGGTCATTTCATCTATACTGAAAATCTGTTGTGTAGTACAGCTATTTCATTGATGATCTTCTCTAGATCTTCTGGAGAACTTGCTACAGCTTCTACGTCAGCACTTGCTCCTTCACCTTGACCTTGGATGTTATGGAGATGGCTTCTTTCCTTAAACATCTCTTCACAAACCAACATCTTTCCTTCTGCGGATTCCCTGCCTCCCTCAGCCTTCACAAAATTGACCAGAGTCAGGGACTTGCTCTGGGTTACGCTGTGGTTTAAGGGAATGTTCTGGCTGGTTTGATTTTCTATTCAGACCACTAATCGTTCCCCCTATCAGCATACTGCTTTCTTATCATTCCTGTGTTCACTGAGGCAGCACTTTTAATTTCCTTCAAGAACTTCTCCTTTGCACTTACAATGTGGCTGTTTGGCACAAGAGGCCTAGCTTTTTGGCCTTTCTTGGCTTTTGACATGCTTTCCTCACTAAACTTCATCATTTCTAGCTTCTGATTTAAATTGAAAGATGTGTGACTCTTCCTTTCACCTGAACACTTAGAGGCCACTGTGGGGCTAGTAACCAGCCTAATGCCAGTATTGCTGTATTTCAGGAAATAGAAAGGTAGTACCAGGAGAGGGAGAGAAATGAGGGAATGGCCAGTCAGTGGAGACATCAGAACACAACATTTATCGATCAAGTTCTCTGTCTTACCAGGGTGCAGTGTTTTGGCCCACCATAACAATTACCATAACATCAAATATCACTGATCACACATCACCATAACAAATATAGTTGTATTGAAAAAGTTTTAAATATTGTGAGAATTACCAAAATGTGACACAGAGAGATGAAGCAAGCAAAACGCTGTTGGAAAAATGGCACTGACTAGACTTGTTTGACACGGGGTTGTCACAAACTTTCAATTTGTAAAAAAAGAACAGGAACAACAAAACAGTATGTGCACAGCACAATAAAGCAAAACACAGTAAAATGAGGTATGCCTATAGTTGCATATGATTCCTAGGCCCACTTCCCTCTGGCTCTTACAGAGTTTACTGAACCCCTATCTAGAGAGACTGTTAATATCAACTGGGATTAAAACCCAAGAAAGGGGCACCTGGGTGGCTCAGTGGTTAAAGCCTCTTCCTTCGGCTCAGGTCATGATCCCAGTATGGCTCCGCATCAGGCTCTCTGCTCAGCCTGCTTCCTCCTCTCTCTCTCTCTCTCTGCCTGCCTCTCTGTCAAATAAAACAAAAACAAAAACAAAAACAAAAACAAAAAACCCCCCAATAACTGAGAAAGTGTACTGGACCAAAAACAGCTGGTACTAGATAAGATACCCAGAGTATCTTATTTTGTAAACAGTGATGGTGGAGTACTAATTAGTGATATTGGTGACAGATATCAAAGAAGAAAATGGAAAGTGGTGAAAAAAAAAATGCGGCTGATATCTATTTCTAAAAAATGTTTTTCTTTTCTTTGGTATGGAATGGAAGAAAATGGGATGACTCCACTTCTTAACTGTCTAGAGAGAAATAATCCTACATTCCTGAACTTCTCTGACTATAATGAGTATTTGGAAAAGAGATGGGTTGGGCAGTGTGGGAATGAAAATTTACGTAACAACCTAACAACTTGTAGGCTACATGAATAAAGAAAATATCTCATGATTAGGTACTTTTAAAAAGTCACTGGGAAAATAAGATCAACTTAAAAACTGCTCTGATTATATTCTCTGTTGCAGACAACAAACCAAGCAGGGGGAAGCCTGCAGAAATGAACTTCCAGGCCCTATTATTTTTTCCTTCCTTCCTTTTTTGGATAGAAGTTCTTTTTGATTAAAAAGTCAAATACCGGATTCATTGGAGTAGGCCAAAGATTATTTGTAAAAAAATAAAAAAAAAAACCAAACCAGGATTTAGAAGAAATGGATGTTTGTTGTTATGGAACATAATTAAATCCTACTTTCAGACATTTTCCAAAAAAGATTTTAACAACAAAACTTTTTCTTGCTTTCTTCCCTTGAAGTTCTTTGGTGATACGCTAATGAGAAGACCATGCATGGTAAATGGCTACTCCTCTCTCCCACAGAAATTTCTATAAGCTCCTTTTTTGTTTGTGTGTTTCTTTCTTTTCTTAAGATTTTATTTATTTATTTTACAGAAAGAGAGAGGAGAGATCACAAGGAGGCAGAGGCAGACAGAGAGAGGAGGGGAAGCAGACTCCCCGCTGAGCAGAGCCCGATGCAGGGCTGGATCCCAGGACCCTGAGATCATGACCTCAGCCGAAGGCAGCAGCTTAACCAACTGAGCCACCCAGGCGCCCCTGCTTCTTTCAATTATAGGGAAAGAATTGTTTTGTGGGGTGGACAATGCCCAGCCGTTTTCTGCTCACTTCAGTTCACCCTCATTCTTTTTCTTGCTTAGTCCTAACATGGTGAGCCATAGTTGCCCAGAACACATTCTAAAATCTCAGAAGAGGGGGCTGAATCCTGGCCCTAGACTCCTTAACTGGGGCCTCACATGTTCCCCGACCCAGGCAGCTTCCCGTTGTTTAACAAGGGGTTGTTGTGAGAATAAAACAAGATGAAGACACACTTCGCAGTGTGACAGGGACCTTTCAGAGGTTTAGAGAGGCCCAGCTACTTCCACTTTTTGAGGCTTTTGGGAAAAAAAAAAAAAAAAAAAGGGTGAGGGATGCCAAAGATGCTTTTTTAATTTATTTTTTACTTTTGAAAAATGAAAATGAAAGTGAAAAACCATCATGTCAAATCTAAATTTTAAATCTTTAGGAATATGAAGCTGGGGATAAGCAGCCCACCTGGGCACCCATCACAGGCCCTGGTTTTACAGTATCTCGACAGTGGGAGCAGTCCTGTATTTATGCTGTAGTCTGATTAGGACATCGTTTTACTGCAATTTTTTCTTGGGACTCTCAGACTCTAGGCATAGGGACCACCTCGATTTTACGTAGATGTTTACATTATTAGCGACCATATGTGGCTGGGATGTGCTAATAGCAGAGACAAGAAAAACAGGAAAATGTTTAGAGTTAGCTGGAACTCTAAACAAACCCAGACCACAAGTGACTGCACCTCTTTAGGGGGAGGCAGGGAAGAGCAGAGCAAGCAGCATGAATTAAACAGTAAGTCAGAAGGGAGAGAAAAACATTGTCGTATCTTGAGGTTAAACAGGTTAGACAAATGGCTGATCCAGGGAGATTTCCAAGAGTGGATTCTAGGGAACAATGCTCAAAGGAGGGCTGAATGGTTGAGTTTGGCCTGAGCTCATTCATAGAACCTAGCAAAACAGACATAGCAAAGAGCCTGGAAATAGGGATCAAGCCTCAGAGGGGAGAAGCAGGAACTGGGAAGACAAGTCTCTTTCTGAGAGCCAGAATGTCCATATGGCAAAGGTCAGATTTAGGAGACTAGGAAAAAATGTGTGTGTGAAAAAAGAAGGAAAAAAAAATCCCTCTATAAGGCTTATCTGCTACTATGGACCAGGGGAGACATCACATAATCCATACATACACATTTATCGACATTGTATAATCTATATTTACCAACACATATATGAATACATAGGCATAATTTATAGTAGAGCTTTAACAGAGTATTATACATAATAGGGAGTAATTTAATGAAGTTTCCATGACATGACTGAGAAAATGCAAAAGAACTATGAGGTAAATGTTATTTTTACCAAGTAGATTCACGAATGTGTGAACATCTGTGATTAACGGATTGTTGGTAACCTGTGGAGAAGTTCCTAGTACTATATGCCGGCTTACATAATTTCATATCTTGTTCGACTTTATGATTGTGTTCAGTGTTGCTATTCAGAAATTTAGCTAAGATGTGGAAAGCAGGCTCATCTAGTGTATCAGTGAAAGAATGCTGGAAAGGGATGCCTCGTTAGAAGACAGGAAGATGACTGACAAATATTTTACAAATAGCAAGTATGCGTGAACACAAGGATGAAACAAAGTTGATGTGTTGACAGGAACTAATATAGTTGCTAATATCATTTGACTGCAATTTTGATGTACGTCAGGGGGTTTTACAATCTACCAAAAAAACAAGTTGGACCACCAGCTGTGGGAAGTAACATTCAGAAGAGAGGTTACTGAGTGACACTGTTCAGCCCTGAGAGACCACAGGTGTCACGAGGAGGGGGAGGGAAATGATGGATGAGGATGGAGCAGTGGACAGAAAGTGCTGTCTTCAGGTAACTGAGAAGATGAAGTGTAGAAGAGAGAAGGGATTTTCTTCCCCTGGGACCTCCAGAATACAAAACACTGTAAATTCTGGTTTCAAAAGAAGTAAGTTTTTAACACTTCCAGCCATTAAAAAATGGAATTACTCTATTAGTAGTATATTCTTTTTTTTTTTTTTTTTTTTTTAAGATTTTATTTATTTATTTGACAGAGAGACAGCAAGAGAGGGAGCCCAAGCAAGGGGAGTGGGAGAGGGAGAAGCGGGCTTCCCGGCTGGGCAGGGAGCCTGATGCAGGCAGGGCTCAATCCCAGGACCCTGGGATCATGACCCGAGCCGAAGGCAGATGCCTAACAACTGAGCCACCCAGGTGCCCCAGTAGTATATTCTTTTTTTAAAACTACAAAGTCCTTGAACTAATGAGGAAAAGCCATCTGGCAAAGATGCTACGAGGAGGTCTTGACTTTGAGTGGAAGGCTAGTCTATGTGATTTTGAAGATATACTCCTGTGTTTTAGTTTGGGTTCCCCTAAAAATGGAGCATGAGACAAAGGTCAGATGCTGAAGGTTTTTAAGGGAGGAGGTATCAGGAGGGGAATGAGCAGAGCAAGTGAACGGGGGATGGGAGAAGAGCCTGTGAAATGCACCGAGCTCATGGCCCACAACTGTGGGCCATGAGGGCTCCCTCCGACTGAAAACCCTCTGAGGAACCACACAGAACACATCTCAGAGTTATTCTGCAAAGGGGAAAGACTGGGCTAGCTGTTCATCAACTCTAAAACCTCACTGGTTCAGGACTGCCCTCCGGGGACTTAACCTCTTCCACTCCCCTGACCACAGCCAGCTGCCTAGGAAGAAGCTCAGAGCTGAGGTAGCTTTTTAGCTACCTCAGCTCTGAGGAGGGGTGGAGGGGGGAATGCAGGGAAGCGGTCCTGCAGCTGTAGTTGAAAAAAAGGAGGGCTGAGGGGATGTCACACAAGGGAAAAGAGTGCCACCACCCTACCTCGGTGGAGCATTTTGTGGTTTAAAAAATACAAGCGTCGCAGTACTCCCCCTTCCCCACTATACCTGAAGTTCTAGCAGAAGCACTAGTGGCAAAAAGTGAGGGAGGGGTTCGGGGGTGTCTGTGTTGGGCACAGGGAGACAATCTTACATCATATGCTACACTAGAAGTTAACAGAAGACAAAAATCAGTACACAAAAAGACAAAAATCCTAACCCCTAAACCAACTTATTACCCCACAAACAAGCACGCTCCCCTGAAGAACCAAGCAAACCAAAGTTTCCCATCCACAGGCCACAGAGATTTACTCATTTCCATTCTTGCATCAGTTCTCCGTCATACATTTTTCACATTTTAACATCTCTAAAATTGGCATGTCATAATTTAATTGGTAGTGTAGTACTTTCTTAGTGGTATACAAAATAATGGTGTTTCTTATCAATTAGGGTGTTTTACATTTGATGAAATACCTTATTCCTGATATTTTCAATATAAACTGATATTTGCAAGGTGACTATTAGCCTTAATTCTTTTGCTGTCCTATTGAAAACGAAAATAATTTCCTATCACCAAAGCTTAGATGAACCTCAAATTTTATACATGTTTTCAGAGGAGAAAACATAAATTTAAAGAAACTGGAATTACCAATGACTAAACATAATTAGAAAACTTTGCAAGAAATAAAAGACAAAAAGAGGCCTAAAGAATCGTTATTACTTAAAATGACTAATGACTAGTGATAAGGCACATGCTACACGAAGAGGGTAATAAGCAAGATTCATCTACGGCTTCCTAAGATATTAGTTATAACTCACACAAAGGCAATCTGTTCATTTTAGATTTCCTGAGAAGTTATTTCTAATGGTCACATTTTAAAGACAGCTAATTTTGTAACAGTGAGTATAATTAAAGTGTTGGCTTGTTCTTATCTCCTCAGTGCTCCAACACAACTCCTTCCAGAATGATAGCTCTTAAAATTAACATTATTTGATGCACATTCTGGAACGTGCAGCTACTGGGTACCAGCACACGGTGTTCACCAGATTAGTTTGGGAAGACGATACGCCTTGTTCTCTAGGAAGAGACCTAAGGGGTGATGGAGACAATTCAAACAGCGCATTGGATAGTCAGAAAGCTTATAGATATTCAGAGAAACCTGAGATCAGTGAACGAATATTATTGCATAAAGTAGTTCTTTTATGGGTTCTTTCTAAAAGTTAGACCTAAGTAACTAATTTACTCTGTGAAAGAATTTCAGTCTAAAATGAAACAGGAACTGGAAGACAGAAAACAGAAAATCTTTCGCATGTGCTCTCAGGAAAACAAAACCTAAAGACCAAGAGACTGATTTCTCGTACATGCCAGATTTATAGAAAACTGATAATATTGGGATGATAGGGAGTTGGCCAGGGGTTGCCTTATATCAACCAACTTGGGAAGTTTTACTTATAGTTTTCAGAGGAATGAACAAGAAATGACCCAGGTCGGGCTGGTCTCACAAAATAGCTCAGTTGAACTTTATTTGTATGACTGGATTGCTTTGCCTGCTCAGGGAATTCTCAGAGCTGGTGCCCATTTGTTTCTTACTTTAACAGACTACGTTAACTGAATTCTCTCTTCTTTACATTCCCTGTCCATAAACACAGCCTACCTCGAATGTTCAACAAACTCACCTGTAGTTTGCTGAACTGCTATTCCTCTGCTGTTTTTGAATAGACTCTTCTTTTCGGACAATTTTGAGTTTGCCTCAGTTTACTTTTTTATTTACTTGAATGTCTAAGTGGAAGCATCTGTTTTCATTTCAATACCCAAAGACTCATTAAAAAAACCAATGTAGCGGTTTCTTGAAATAGACAATAGGCAGGGGTAATTACCCCACGTTGTCAGTAACTGTGGAATTAAGTGATCATTATTTCTATGGCTGTGGGAACTTAATTTTATAATATGCCTTTCTAGATATCTCCTTCAGTATCAAAATAGGTATGTTAATATCCCTGTTACATAAAGCAAAGCTGATGCCAGGAATATAGAAGAACAACTGAAAAGATTCATTCTTGAATTGGGAAAAAAGTCTGATTAAAGCTTCAAAAATCAGGATTGCCTGGGTTGCTCAGTCAGCTGAGTGGCTGCCTCCTGATTTCAGTTCAGTTCGTGATCAGGGTCATGAGATCGACCCCACTGGGCTCTGTGACGGGCATGGAACCTGCTTAAGATTTTCTCTCTCCCCCTCTTCCTGTGTACCCACCCCCCTCCAAATTTAAAAATCACAGAAAAATTGATATATTAAAGTTATAGAAATCACTGAGCATTTTTTCCTGAGACATTTATGTCTAAGAAATGTAAACAAATTAAAACATCACCTCTACGGCTTCCCAGGCCCATTTCCTGTACTTTGGATCATGAGTCAGTCGCCACATGTACATGTAAGTCTCAACCACCTCTGGTCGTAGGATGTAGTACTTTTCGTTTTGCCTCGTAGCAATGGCTTCAACGCCGCCATCGAACCTGAAAGCTTCTGGTCCCAGTTTCATATCTAAAAGGCATGCAAGGGTGAAAAGGGTTATTGTCTTAGATGCTGCTCAGTTCTACAGCTTAAGTGAAACTAGAAAGTACTCTACAACATTCAAGAGAGATGCCAAAACAATCATTGTAAGGAATGGTTATAAACATCCTATAATAAACAATATTCAATATACTTTTAAAATACAGTCATCTGAGAGTCCTTTTTAGAACATTGCCATGATCTGTTATTTCTTTCATTTAACCACCATTTACCAAGTGTCCCCCAGGAAGGTACAAGGCACAACAACACCCCTCATTAGTTAGCTGGAAAACAAGTGGTTGAGAATTCTATGTCATTATGTCATGAAAGTTTATTTAATCTTTGTTCTTCAAACTCCTGCTTTATAAGAAGGGAGTCAGACTCTATTTCATGGAGATACTGAAAATATTAATAACGGTTTATAAAATACTAAGTTTCTTTTGCACCTGAGACAGAGATTCTTACCCCATGTTTTTACCTAAAGCAGGGTCAATAAATTAGACTTGCTTAACCCTGTATGGCTTCAATTCCTATTCCTTGGGAAAACTAAGGGTAGATACTTTTATGTAGAAAAGCAGTGCTTCTTGAAGTAAAAAAATATATATATGTAAAATCATTTAAAATGTTCATCATGAGCTTCTACTTTCATGAGGCACAGTGGATATTCTTTTAATGGCAGCAGTGACAATGTTCCTTACAGAACAAAATAAAAGCCTGTGGGAATAGGTTGAAAAGGAAGAGAATCACAGGTACTCACAGGTGCGATTGTAAGACTCATAGCAGGTTCGGGCAATTTCAGCCCCGAGCTGCAGGTAGTGCTGGGTCAGGCCTGCGGGAGCGTCGTCAGCCCCAAGAGCAAACATGCCCCCAGCAAAGCAGGTCAAGTGGCCCATTTTGTGTTCCAGGAGGCCTCCTTTCCACTCCGCGATGTAAGTCAGCCCCGTACTAGACTTGCGGATCAAGTGAGTCTCAATTGCCTGCAAATCAGACTTATTTTCAACATTTTAAAGTCCCTTCCAAATTTATACTAAAAACACTGTCAACACTAAGGGAGAAAAAGGATAAAGCATCACTCACAGTTTGAGTTTGGGACCATCGATGTGATTTGACCTGAAATTTTGTTATTGCTGTCTATATTCCTTCCCTAGTCTCTGCCTTAATAGTCTAGTTAGTTAGGATTATCAGTGCTGGGCCAGCCCACTTGGTTTTGCCTGCTTCTGTGACCAAACATTTGTAGTCCTCAGACCTCAAACACTGTCGCCTTCTCAAAGACAGGCCACTGTTGTAGAGGAAACAGTTAATGCATTTCCATTTTCTCAATGGAGAAACAACACAAGCACAAGCCCCACTGTGGATGAAGAATAGAGCTTATCTGCGTATAAAGTCTGGGGGTGAGGGAGTGCTGCCTCACCTTTGGCTCTCTTGTGCTCAGAGCTCAGAGGGTGGCCAACTGAGGGGGAAATGTGTACCATTCTTGAGTCCAATTGCTTGGCCCCAAATTCCAACTCTGACACTATCTGTGAACTTGCTGGATAATTTGTTTGCTGTATCCCTAAATCTCAGTATTCTTAACCATAAAAAGGGGATAGTAGTATATCTTCTGAGAAAACTCTGCAACATCTAGTTTATGAAGCCATCAATACTTTGACCAGCACCTGATAAGGTTCATTTATCATCATCACTCACATCTCCATTGTAGTAATACTTAAATTAAATTCCTCCCTAATAATTTCATTAAAAAGCACATTAGTATATAAGGGGGAAAAAGACACATAAAAAGATACTCATCATCACTTATCATCAAGGAAATGCACAAACAAAACTATAATGAGATATCACCTCACACTTGTCAGGATGGCTAAAATCAGTAACACAAGAAGCAACATGTGTTGTTAAGAATGTGGAGAAAAAAAGGAACCCTCTTGCACTGTTGGTAGGAATGCAAACCGGTGCAGCCATCTGGAAAACAGCGTGGAGGTTCCTCAAAACGTTAAAAATTGAGCTACCTTATGATCCAACAATCACACTACTGGGTATTTACCTGAAGAATACAAGATCGATAATTCAAAGGGATATGTGCACCTGTACACTTAGAGCAGCACTATTTGCAATAGCCAAGACACTGACTGATGAATGGATAAAGAAGATTGCAATAATGGAGTATTATTCAGGCATAAAAAAGAACGAAATCTTGCCATCTGCAACAATATGGATGGAGCTAGAGAGTATAATGCGAAGTGAAATAAGAGAAATAAAAGAAATAAGAGAAAGACAAATACCACATGATTTCAGTCACAAGTGGAATTTAAGGAACAAAGTAAGTACAGGGAACAAAAAATGAGAGAGAGACAAATCAAGAAACAAACTCTTCCTTATAGAGAATAAACTGATGGCTACCAGAGGAGAGGGAAGATGGCTGAAATGAAGATGGGAATTAAGGAGTGCACTTGTCATGAGCACAGGGTGATGTATGGAAGTGTTGCATCATTCTACTGTACACCTGAACCAAATATAACACTGTATGTTAACTAACTGGAGTTAAAATAAAAACTTAAAAAAATAATAAAGGTCTGTAAATTGGGGAGAAATGATGTTTACAAAAATTATTTGTAAAATATCTTATATTTTTGGCTCTAGGACTGTTGATACACTTTACAATAGATAGAAAATAATATAAGCCTTATATTGTAAAAAACAAAAATGAAATATAACTGTTTGGAATTACTAACTTCTAAATTACTGTAATAGGAAATGTTTCTTTCCCCTCCCAATTACTTCATAGAAGAAAAAGAGCTATGACCATGTCTATACCTGTTATAGCATTATAAAAAAAAAAAAAAGAGAGGGTTTTTAAGGAAGTACATTTGGGCAGAGTAGACACAGACAAAACTTGTGACAGAAAAGAATGAATGAAAATGAATGAATATATAGACAAATAACACCTTTCCTACTTTTATTGGAAATAAACAATTGAAACCAAGATGGTAAGAAATAAATGAACACACTACTGCGCTCCCTAACTGTGGTTAGCTAGTTTTACTGATGGTCTAGTTATTAATATTTCTTTCTAATTTAACTGAACACTTATTTACACTTCTCATAGCACAAACTGTAATAAAGTTCTTCAAGCAGATACTTGTTCATCACCCAAGAAATTATTCTTTCTATATGGCAAAAGTTACAGCTTTTGAGCATGGACTAGAAAACCATTATTATCCTGTTATGGATCCTGAATAAAGTATTCTATTATTTTTGGCATGATTCTGCCCAAGCTCTTACCTCTCAAAATAAACTACAATGATGTTCCAAGATCCTCAAAGCAATGTTTGTGTGACAGTAGGAAAATGTAAATAAATATAAAGGAGAAAAAAATAGTCTTCAGTGGTTCTAAAAAATGTGTTAAATCTGCAGAGAATTGATTAGGAAAAAAGAATATCATGTATTCTGTGATTTTAGCCTTCCATATTTGGAAAAAAAATTAGTTTGATGAAAGCTTTAGAAACCTAAATGTATAATATGTCATGTGCTCTGGTACCATTCACTGCAGGGGACCCTTAGTAGAATAAACATCCACCACAGTGGATTCTTAGTGTGGTCTCTGGAGAAGAACGTAACAGCCAGTTGAAAGCTCAAGGTATTTTGTTATTAGAACAATCAAAGAAAAGAGACCATACTGGGATTAAATGCTTTCCAAAGTCTCCTTGAAGCTAAAAATGAAAAGCTGTATCTCCAGTAACACAACTGTCTAGAAGGATAAAGTGTGGGATCTTCTTAGTAAGAATGTTTTGTTTGTTTGTTTTCATTTTTGTTTTTTTTAAGTACAGCTTAGCAGAAAGAAACTTTGCTATGTGAGACATGGTTACTTCTCAAACCAGAAATTTAATTGTTCTAGCTTTGCTTTCCAAGTTGAAAGCACAATGGATTGAGAATGTTTTTATTATTAAGAGAAACAGGAAACACTTTGCTTCATTTGTTCTTCATGGGTTTTCCTATCAATGGTTTATCTAAATACGATATGTTAGAAGCTGTGTGAGTATAGTTCTAGAAACTGGGGGGAATATTTCAGAGAACATTTTAAAGTTGCTTTTCTTAGAACATCAAGATCTTAGGGGGCCACTTTAATGGTAGAATAATTAAAATATCTGCTAGGATAGCAATGAAAAAAACGATAACAGAAACTATATTGTTTGGACAATTCCCTAGCTTAAAACTTGAAACCTCATAGGAATGAAGGAATGAAGAAAAACAAAACTGGCAGAGGCCATGTGGACTATAGTTTGCTTTTTATGTTCATCGTGTGCCTTAATTAAGGCTGTGCTAAATGAAAGCCAATGTACTAACTAAGGCCTTCTAGTTCCTATTTGTGAAGTGGTAAAGAGTTCTATCTCCTGTACTTCGTGATGCTTCTTACTGACCTTGGGAGGGAACCACAGTACTATTCAATCTGGCCAACCAGAACAAAGCAAGTTGCATTTATATTTAAAGATTTTATTTATTTATTGGACAGAAAGAGATCACAAGTAGGCAGAGAGTCAGGCAGAGTGAGGGGGGAAGCAGGCTCTCCGCTGAGCAGAGAGCCCGACTTGGGGCTCGATCCCAGGACCCTGGGATCATGACCTGAGCTGAAGGCAGAAGCTTTAACCCACGGAGCCACCCAGGCACCCCGCATTTATATTTAAATGAATAAACTGGACCATGTTTAAATTACCCAGACCTCCTCTCAGGGAGACAAATTTTAGAACAGTGGCTACATTACTGGGGAGTTACAAATTTCCACTCCCCCCATGAATTAATACTCTCAATTACAAAAAAAAAAATCTAAATAGTCAATAAAAGAGTCATTTTTCTGATTTAGCCATAATTTTATATTATTTGAGATGCCTTGATAATATAAAAAAATGAGTCATCATATAAATACTTATCAATCACAAAGGTACTTGGTTCTGCTAAAAAATTTGTTTCTGAAAAGTTGGGTGTGAGTTCAAATATTATTCTTTTGCTTTATTTACTTTCAAATTTTATTTTTATTTTTGATTGAAGCTTACATTTGCTTAAGGCTTAGTTTACTCTTACATTGGCCATCTCCTATATATTTTGCTAAGTAATTTCTTATTTTTACTAACTTAATGCATGTAAAGAACACTTGAATGTAGTATGGAAATTCTTATTCACAAATAAATCCACAGTTGTGTGGTAAAAAGAGACAAGTGTTGACACAAATTTTAGTTTGAATTGTGGTTCCAACTCAAAATTTCTGAGGTTCCGTTCTCTTATTTATAAAGCCAAGTAAAAAAATATCTAAGCTATCGTGAGGAGACAAATACTTTACGTAAAGTACCTATTTAACACACTACTTAGCTCACAGTGGACAGTTCAACACATACATGTTCTCTCTCATTCCTCCTCTGTTATAAAGGATCATAGGTAACTATTAATGAGTTCAGAGTTTTATTTGAGAGCGCTGTCTGTCTATCTCTGGAGATAAATTTACTTCAAATGGAGGTAGTCATTAGGAATGTCTGTAATCTTGGGCAATTTTAACTTTGTCAATTTCCAGAATATAAATTTAAGATTTGTTCCTTCCCATGACTTTAATTGTGATTCTAAGCATGGAACTCATATTCCTTGAAGAAAAATACCTCTTTCTCAGATATGTGAATCTTTACTGAGGTGTGAAGCGCATAAAACACTTTCAGCTGCCCTCTTAGAACTCAACATCAAGGGGGATTACTGTTGTTATAATTACATTAGCAGACACTGAACTCAGCCTAACTGGAGATATTTTGTAACCCACTTGTGTAGTATTCCATTTCCCATTAAAGACTGATTAATATGCAAAAGGTAAGTTAGTTTAGTGGCAAAGATGATTAAATATTGGTTTACCTGAACAGCATCAAAATACATCTTCTTAGCTTCTAGATCTGTCTTGTCAGACATTAACCACGCCTTGAGCAAATATTCATAAAAGCTGTCTCCGAGTCCTCCAACTGATACATGATCTGCAAAGAGAAGAAAATGAATTTTAGAGTGATTGAGGCTTTAATTCAGGTAATGCAGCAAAATCACATTAGTAACTAGGATGCAAAACCCTACGTCAACTGCAACTCAATGTTACATTTAAATTCCGACAAATCTGTTTTCAGGAAGATGTTCTGAAACAAGCAGATGTGCCGTTAACTAATGCGATATACTCTAAATAATTACCAGGCTAGCTTTGTAAACACAGAGATAAAAAATATATAATCAACCCTAATTCCAAAAATCGGTTTCTCTAGTTAAAAACCACCAAATTAAAGTGTTTCACAGCATATATTCAGATAGATTTTGATTGCTTTAGCACTCAAAAACAAACTATGTCAAATGCTATGAGTATTAGCAAACCTTGAAGAGAACTGGCTTGCAATAAAACAAGAAACTCCTTAGCTTCTTGTGATTATTATTTGATGGGTTTTCCAGTGTTACCAATCTATACAGTCAACATCCTTGGGGGAGGCTGGTAAGAAAGATGACAGGCAGGAGATACGTCCTTCCTAATACACTATTCCTACAATCCTCCCCCAATGCCATTTACTACACCAGATCCACTACATATAGTGCCAACAATCACATAATTTATAGGGTAGGTATCCTTATAAAAAGTGAAAAAAATTAAGACTGAGTGAGGCTAAAGATGACACCAATGGTAAAGGCCACCTGATCCCACAGCCCACACAGAATCTTGGAACTGCTTGCTCTCTACCACATAACACTAAATGTATTCTTCTGCCTACTTCTTGAATTAATTCTTTAATTTCTCAAGCATATCTATCTACAAAAACAGAGACGTAACCTGTCTGAAATATCATTCTCAGAACTCCATAGAGAGTTTGAGCACTACTAAGACAGCCTGATTTTGGAAATTTGCATTTTAAGTTCATAACTCAAAACGAATTTTATGTATCTATTTTTTTTTAAAATAAGTCCTTTGTTGACTCTGTCACATAAAAGTAAATCCATTTTTATACAACTATCGAGACAATTTTCTCCTGATACCTCCCCAACAACTCCCTTTGGAGGTTTACATGGGGACCTATAATGGAACAGGTTAAAACTCAATTCATTCTTTTTTTCTTCACAACCTTACCTTCTGCCTTTGGTCCCTGTCTCACCAAGTGGCACCATCATCCTCCCAACTGTGCGAGTTAGTCATCAGAGAGTCATTCTTTACTTCTCTCTCTTGCCCCCATAGCCAATGAGCTAGTGAGCTCTACTCACTTCACCTCCTTTACATCTCTTGAATCTGTCCCCTACTCCATCCTCATCAATATGATCCTGGATGAAGCTACCAATATTTCCTTCTTCTGAGTCTGCAGTGGCCAATTATCTGGCCTTCTGTACTCTGATAGCCTGTAGCTATTTACATTAAAATTAATTAAAATAAAATAAAAACAATTCAGGTCCTCAGTCATACTAGTGCTCAAAAGCTACCTGTGGCCTTTCGTGACTGTACTGGAAGTGGAAGATACAGAACATTGCCATCATCACACGGAGTTCTAATGGCAATGCCACTGCAATCTATTTCCCCATGAAAACCAATGTAACCCCTTAACATGTGAACCAGATCATCCTAATTGGAAGTCTTCAATGACAAAGACTCAAATCCTAGGTGTTTGGAGACTGGGAGGCCCTGCATGGTCTCCATCTTCCCTGTGTCACCATCAGTCCTGCTCTATTGCTTTCTACTTTTTTGCCAAATGGCTCTTCTTCGGGCCCCTCAAAACAAGCAGGGTAATTTCCACCACAGGCACCCTAAAGGCATTGTTCTCTTTGCCCAAAGTGCATGCCCTACCTCCTTTCCCCTTCACTTAGTAATTCTTCCTCATACTTCCTATCTAGGATTAAATGCTGCCTCCTCAAAGTTGCTTTCCCTGACCTCCTAATAACACATTTTTTGATAGCACATGTCTACCACACTTTGCAACTTCCTAAAATGGTGGAATTTTTTCTCTGTCTCCTCTATAAGATCATGATCCAGGAGGACAGGGACTAGACCTATTATGTTTCCTGGTCCACATCAGCCCCTGAAAGTAGCTGGCATATAGCAAGTAACTGACAAACAAAGATAAATTCTTGTAAGTCAGTCTTAATAAGGACTATTCCCAATTAATCTAGAAGGGCTATATTTTTAAGTAGTGAAAAATGAATTTTTATTATTGCAGGAAGTCCAGTTTTAATTTTAATGTAAAACTAATGTTTTACACCTGTAAGGCTGATTCTTAAAACAGCAATGTTTGAAGTGACCTTTGCAATTTCCTAAATAAATTACCACAGAAACCTCTGACATTTACAAACTAAATACACTAAGTACTATCTCATCAATAACAAGCCCTGCTGTTATAAACATGATTGCAGGAGACAAATGCAAGTGATGCATGGTAAAGCAAATCACTGTCCGGTTACTGTCAAAACAACAAGGACTAAATGAAGTAATAGGAAATGATGGCCGTGATCCAGACATGCCCTTCAGAGTTAAAGCAATGAGAACTGAAAGCTAACAGCCAGAAGCAGCTTCATTTTCTTCCCCCTTGGGTTATGATTCTATAATGGTTGGAAGAAGCAAGTTTGGGCATTTGGTGATTTTTAAAAAAGGAAAAAGGGTTACATAATAATACATTTGCTTGAATTAATTTTAGTAAATGCCAGTTAATTTTTTAAAAAGATTTTATTTATTTATTTGACAGGGAGAGAGAGAGAGAGAGAGCACAAATAGGGGGAGCACCAGGGAGAGGGAGAAGCAGGCTCCCCACTAAGCAGGGAGCCCTACGTGGGGCTTCATCCCAGGACCCTAGCTAACATAATGACCTGAGCCAAAGGCACACATTTCACCGACTGAGCCACCCAGGTGCCCAATTTCCTATACTTTTATTTCCTACCTATAAATTTTTCAGATTTGGAAAGAATGAAAATAAAAGAACACAGAGAAGAAACAAGAACAAGCCTTTTTGATAACCTAGCGTATCACTCACTATGCTTCTCCAGGTCTGGAGGACTATTTCCGTTGGCAACAGAATCCTGTGTAAATATTTAGTGGGTGTGGGAGAGAACATGCCTGATTTTATCAGCAGGAAGGGACCTCCTCCTTCTACAAAGAACATATATGGTGTTTTTATTCCCAAATATTCTAAAGGTAATGTGTACTACAATCACTCAAATATTATGCCCTTCTCTATAGAAGGCAACTCAGTTTTCTTCCCAAGAGGAATAGGTCCCATAAAAGGATTCCTAATACTTAAGAGATAAAACAAGTAGCAAAAGAACATCAAGACAAAATGGATTAAACTCTCAGTATCTTTATTTTTTATTATTTTGTATATTTCATCTGAACCTGAACTTCTCCAAGCATTCCCTCAATGACACTAGTGACACTATATGTATATTAATATTGTTATATTATTCAAAGAAGAATGGGCGCCTGGGTGGCTCAGCGGTTAAGTGTCTGCCTTCTGCTCAGGTCATGATCCCAGAGTCCCGGGATCGAGTCCCACATGGGGCTCCCTGCTCAGCGAGGAGTCTGCTTTTCCCTCTAACCCGGCTCATGCTCCCTCTCCCTCTCAACTAGATAAAATCTTAAAAAAAAAAAAAAAAAGAATGATAATTGTTCTGCCTATAGACATGGAGGCCCACATCTGGCCTCAGCAGTTGCAAGATCTCTTTATATTATCAGTGACCAGGACCTGCTGCTGCCTCTCAGCCACAACTGAGGAGCAGAGAATAAACAGAACTATTATTAAAAGCAGAGTCAGAAAGGTAGATTGGGTACAGAGTGCATGAATACTCACAAAATCCACCCACTCTTAAGTAAGTAACACTTAGTAGTGCAAGATACAGTGTGCTGGGTTAACAAATATCATTGAGACAAAGTCACTGGCCTCAAAAGTTTTGGATCCCTAAGAAGATGGGGATGTATATGAATCATTTTGAAAAAGATAATGATAGACAAATCCAAAGTGCAGGGGAGGAAGAGGGCGAGTGGAGGATGAGTGGGTGCTAACAAATTCCAACCAGGGTCTTGAAGAAGCAGGTCTCCCAGAAGAAAGGGCAACTCAGCAGAGGTAGTCAGAGCAGAGGTAAAAGAGCTGCGGAAACAGCACAAACCAAGACCTGGATACGACCAAGTGGGCCCTGATTAAAGAACGAAAAAATAAGTGTGTCTCTTTTGTGGCTGGAACACAGGATTGGGGTGGGGGGGGCAGACATGAGAGTCATCAACCCTATTTGTTTGCCATCAGGAAATTGGCCCACGAGCGATCCAAATATAACGGGCCCTTTGTACCAGGGAAAATGGCCAAATACACAATATACTGGTAACCCAGAAGGTGAAACTGGGCTGTTGCAGTATAACTGATACTTTCTGTCCCTCTTTACAGTGACGTCTAGATCCTAAATCACAAGAAGAAAACAGTTGGTCATAGAGAATTTGTTTTCAATTTTTAAAATCATTCATGAGAAGGAAAATGCTAAAAATGTCTGTCCTTTTAGAGAATCTTATCTGGTCTTTGTACTCAGAAAGCTACTCAAGTTGTATTTTATCTCAAATACTCTTAATGGTTCTCAAACTTTTAAGTCTCAGTACTCTTTACACTCTTAAAAATGAATAAATGGGGGGGGGGCGCCTGGGTGGCTCAGTGGGTTGGGCCTCTGCCTTCGGCTCAGATCATGATCTCAGCGTCCTGGGAGAGAGCCCCTCATCGAGCTCTCTGCTCAGCAGGGAGCCTGTTTCCCCCTCTCTCTCTGCCTGCCTCTCTGCCTACTTGTGATCTCTGTCTGTCAAATAAATAAATTAAATCTTAAAAACAAAAACAAACAAAAAAATGAATAAATGCCCCAAATACCTTGTTTATGTAATATCTATAAGTATTTACCATATTAGAAATGAAATTTAAAGTATTTAAATTAAATTAAAATATTTTATTAAGTTATAAGAATAATACAACCACTATGATAACATATTTTTCATAAGAACATGTTATATTTTACAACATAAAAATTAGTTAAAAGACTGATACTGATTTACATTTTTGCAAGTATTTTAAATTTCTGCTATACTGGAAGACAGCTGGATTTTTCTATCTGCTGTATATTCGATCTGTTGCCACTTGTCATTTTCGTGGAAATACATGAAGAAAATTCAGCCTCACGCAGTTATACAATTGGAAAAGAAAGCATTTTAGGAGTCTTTTCAGATAATTATGGATATTTTTGATACTAAAACAAAACTTGACAAGCAGCTAACATTTTTTAAAGGTTGGCTGTAATGTGGAATTAGAAATCACATCAAAGAATTTTTGTTCTGTTACATTAAAATCCATTGGTCTATCTTGCACTTTGAATGGATCTTTTTTCTCACCTGATTTTGTCATAGCATGTATCAGTCATTTGGAAAATACTAGTTCCCTCAATTATGCAGATCTTCCAAATGTTGACATAGTTCATTATATGATATAAAAAACCACATTGGTGAATATCACCACTAATCTCATCAGAAAAGTTTTTTTTTTTTCTTTTTTTTTCTTTAAGAGTGTGGGCAGTGGCACAAGGAGTGGGAGAGAGAGAGAATCTTAAGCAGGATTCCTGACAGGGGGTTCAATCTCAAGCCCCGGAGATCATGACCTGAGCTGAAATCAAGTCAGACGCTTAACCAACTGAGCCACTCAGGTGCCCCAGGAAAGTCTTTAAGTATTGGTTAAAGGTGTTAAGGTCACAGTGGTATATAACATTTCTTAAAATTCTAATTTTCATTTAGAAATTCAAATTCTATCATTGGTATGTCAGTTTTCTTTGAAGTGACAGGCCTGTTTTTGAGAACAAGTCTACCAAATACCCAAGTCCGAATAACCAAAGTTTCTCTTCAGTTGTCCTTTCAAGCAAAAATGGCAATCCACACAGCAGTCATGGCTGGTTCAGCTTGCGATTCAATCACACAAGTGCTTTTCTACAAGGCAGGCACTATCTTTTCTTACTCAGCAAAGCAGTGGACTCAGTGGTTGCGATTTACTAGCATCAATTCATTTTCTTCATTAAAAATATTCATAAGTGAAACTGGCATCATTTTATTTCTTCTTGTCAGTGAGGAATACAATTATTAGTTCTATCTGGCTCCTCTGCCATGGTTCCCACAGTGGCCTCAATAGTTTTACCCACCACTGCTTTTGCAATACAAGTGCAAATGTTGACACAGTAAAAAGGCAGAAAGCCTTAGTATTATTATAAAAATAGCTTTGACCTCCTGGACACACTGAATGGTCTCAGGGATGTGCCGTGATCTGCAGACCACACTTGGCTAAGTGGCAACCTTATGGTCTTATGGTCTCAAGAGCAAGGCCTTCCATAACCATTACAAACATAGGTTTTAGCACAGTTTTTATTTTACTAAATTAGTCTTTAAGAAAAGTACTTCTATAGTAACAGTGAGGCATATTCATCTAAGAATATAATTTTAAATATAAAGAAAACACTCATATTAGAATAAAATTGTAAGGCATGGCTAACATCCCCGGCACAGTGAGGCACCTCACTTAGTATTCTGTATTGGGTTTCAGTTGCTGTGTTAATCTACCACTGTTTTTCCAAATCAACTTGAGAACATTTCTTTCAACTACTCTGAATCTTCATACCACGATCAAAGGCGCTAAGGGATCTGAAATGAGGACTACTTGCATAATGCTTTCTCCTAATCTGAAGATAATTCTACTGGGAAGAAATCTTTATCTGCTGGCTTAAAATTAAGTAGAGAAAACGACCTGTTTGCTCTTTCAATTTCCTAACCTTTAAAAATTCAGGTTCCTCTCTCATCTTGGAGCCAAGAACAAAAAGAGAAAACGCTATAAAGTAGAATGATCTAGCTACTCTGTGCAAAACCCTGATGGCCAATAGTACAGAGGAACAATTTTCCCTTCTACCCGCATGACCAGATTATTACAGGCTAACATCCCCACACAACCTGACCAGATCGTCCCTTCCTGATTAATAATTTAAATGTGCTTACATGTCATCATACTCGCAGCTATGCATGAAAAACAGTCTAGTTCCCTGGTCACATTTACAGTCTCTCTTATGAGAAGCCTATTTAGTAAGGGAACCATGCTCACTTTCCCCCTTTTGGAGCATTCCCCAAGAAGACTTGTGCTTTCTTGTACTCCTTCTCTCGGTTACTAGAACAGTGCTGGGTATCATAAAGAGCTAAAACGATGCTAATCTTTTGACTTACATTGACCCCACTGTCCACTACTGGGATTCAGATAGTTAGGATAAAGGCCTTGTGGTTTTTCCAGGTTGTTCAGTACTGTTCGAATATTCATTACCTACAACAGAAAATGAGATGTTACTATGAAAATCTAAAAAACAATTTTGGTGCCATTCTTCTCTCTTTCTCTATTACATTTTTCCATGTTAGGAAAGAAGATTTATTTAAAAGAAATAGAACAAAGAGAGTCACCCCAGCTTACAAAAATAATCACAGTCAGTGAGTACAGTCCCACTGATCTGCCAGATGCCATAGAAGGAACTAGGGATCTACCAGTGGATAAATAAAATCCTTACCCTCTTGGAATTTGCAGTCTCGTGGGAGGAGACAGATAATAAGCACATAAATATGTCAGGTGGGGACAGATGCTATGAATAATGGGACAGGGTGATGTGAGGTCATGAGGCTGCACACTTAGGGAGGTCTGGAGAGCCTGATGGGAGAGGGTTTGAGTAGAAACTTAAAGAAGCAAAGGAATAATATGCAGAAAGTTGAAGGAAGAGCAATCGGGGCAGAGGTAGGTGTGAGCACAAGTGTCCTAAGCAGAGAGTAGGAGTAGGTTTGGCAAGACCACTGAGGCTGGAGGTGAGGAAGCAAAGGGAGCAATGTCAAAGAGAGAGGAGAGAGGGAGCCAGGGCCCACATCATGCAAGCCTCATGGGCCAAAATGAGGGCTTATTTTATTCCAAGCGTGATGCGAAGCCACTGAAGTTTTGTGTGATTGAGGGGGCAAGAGAGGAAGCAGTTATTCAGGTGGGTACTGCAGAATTCAGCTCAGAGATGTTGGGTCCCAGGAAAGGATGGCAGCAGAGAAAGAGGGTAGAGCCAAAGCATCTCCTGATGGGTTCGACCTAAGTTTTCCCAAAAAGAGAGGAACCAGATGACCTCAAGATCCGTGACCACTGGGTAAATTGAGGTGGCATTTATCAAGACAGTAAAGACTGCAGTAGAAACAGGTCTGGGGGCTGAGTCTGAGGCATTTCGAGTAGCAGTTGTCTCAGTGGAAATGTCAGATACAGAGTGTGGGACAGGTTGGGACTGGAGTGACAAATCTGAAGTCAGCAGCACATAAAAAGTATGTGGAGCCACGAGACTGGAAGAATGAATGCAGAGAGTGAACATAAAAAGAAGAGACCCAGGTTTGAGTGCTGAGGCTTTCTGGTATTTAGAGGTTGGCGCATTGGGGAAGATCCAACGAAGAAGGCCGAGAAGCAGCAGTCTACTGAGGAAGGAGGCAAACCCGGGTAGTATGGTAGGCCTGCAGCCCGGTGCAGTGTCTTGGAGAAGGAAGTGACTGTGTCAGCGGCTGAGGGTGAGGAAGACAAGAGCAGAGAATGATCATTGGACCTGGCAATGAGGAGCTCACTGGTCACCCAGACAGGTGCGGCGAGGAGAAAAGCCTGACTCGAAAGTCTCAAGAGCGGGGGATGCAAGAAGGGGGGGCCGGTAACAGAGACGATTCTCTCGGGGAATTTTGCTATAAAGGGGAGCTGCAAATAGGATGAATGCTAAGGGCAGAGTGGTGGGGTGAATGTAAATTTACTCAAATATCTATGGGTTTGTTTCTTGAAAATTAGAAACTGATTCAATTTGTATTATACTTTGAGTTTAAAAAGTCCTTCCCATCCAGGCTTCATATAGTCCATATAATGCTATTTTTAGATAAGGAAAAACATTCAGAGAGGTACAGGGACTTGCTTGAGTTGTAGAGAATCCAACATGTACACCCTGCTATCTGACACAGCGTCAGATGGTGCCATGGAAAGACTGTGGGTTTACGGTTTGGTCAAATGAAATGCTGCACGTAACAAAACTTCATAAAGAACTCGATTAAATTTAGCTGTTCTTTTCCACATCTAATATTACTGAATCTTCCAGAAGAGGATATTGTTTCTCACAAGTACAGCTTTGCAATGCAAGGTGTATTGGAGAATCTCACCTTTTCAGCAAAGATGGGGTTTCCTGATAAGTGGCTTAGGTGTAGAAACTCCAAATGCAGAGTTCCAAATTCTGCCAAAATACTGCTGCCTCCTGAGGCCCAGGGCCAGTTCCTTCCGATCCCACTAAAGAAGAGAAGAGATTGAACAGTTACGGGACAGGCTAATTCCAGTTTTTGCAGCTCTAAATAGTAGAGGTGAAAGAGACAGCTTTTGAATAATAGCATCTCAGCCAATGGTCTACTCTGGATATTAAAAAATATCCAGCGGGGCACCTGGGTGGCTCAGTTGGTTTAGTATCTGCCTTCAGCTCAGGTCATGATTCCAGGGTCCTGGGAGCAAGCCCCACATCAGGCTCCCTACTCAATAGGGAGCCTGCTTCTCCCTCTCCCACACCCCCTGGCTTGTGCACCCTCTCTCTCTTTGTCAAATAAATCTTAAAAAAAAAAAAAAAATCCAGCATTGTTGTCTTTGGCTACTCGTTTCAGGCTTTGACGCTTACCTACAAACTGAAAATCAGTGTTGACTTAAGTCAGAAAAAAGTTGCTATGTGCTTGGTGTTGATGAACAGACAACTATTTTGGAAGGTATAGGCTCTATATACACCCATTCCAAATAGAATATAAAACACCCTCTCACAAAGTGCCCCAAATCCCACATAAAGCCCTGCAACATTTTAATTAATTTCAGCCCGAGAGTCCATGGACTATTATAGATATTCACATTATACTTAAAAGTTTTCATTGATATAAGATAAATTTCAAAGATTCATTGATTACATACTCATTCCACCTCTCCCCAAACCTTCTCTCCACTACTAAACGTTCTTTTGTTTTCCTTCACACTATTTTCCCTATTTTCTAAGTATATTTTCCAGGGCCCTCACTTACTCCCTGACCCATTTAATCTATGTTCAAGAATTTCAACACAATTATGGAATTCAAATCTGAAAGGGGTCAAAAGGCATGAGCTTCAGAAATTATTGCCTCATGCCTCATCTTGGAGAAATGGTGTTGAAAAACAGTTCGTCCTACACATCCACACACATAAATAAACATGAAGTGACTTTTGAGACATGGTCATATTCTTGGGTATGGTTTATTTTTGGAGAGCTACTTAAAACACCAAGACTTAATGTGATAATTGGAGTAAAGAATAAAGTCAAGGATTTGACTGGTAAATTCTCTTGCAGAAAGCTGAAAACCCACATTTTGGTTTTAGTTCAGATGCACATTTATTGCACACCTACCATTTGCCAGGGACTCTGCATAGCATTGGGTTACAAAGATGATTATAATGAATAAATTACTTTTTTCTTAAAGACATTATAAGAGAATGACCTAAGCACAGATAATTCCAATTAAATATGGTAAGTGCCAAGATAAGTGTGTGAGAAATTCTCGGAGCGCCTAGGGCCAGGGCATGCAATCCTATATGGTGCGGGGGCGGGGGGGGGGCACAGAAGGCTTCTTCAAGGATGGGACTCCTGAATTGACTGCTGAAGAATGAATATGAATTAGTGAGAGAAGAATGGTGAGAGGGAGCATCTGGACACCTAGAGCACACAGAAGGGCGCGTCAGAGCTAGAAGCACCAGATACTGCTGAGTGGAGGGAAGGGAAGGTGGCTGGAGAGAAGGTTATAAGGTTCAATTGGGGCCAGGTCTTGGAGGTTTGTGGATTTCTCACTTTCTTCCCTTTCTAAGTTGGCTCCATTTGAATACTGCTCTTGGTGTCCCCTAGATTTCCTTCCCTGTTTTTTTTTTTTTTTGCTTTAGATCATTCACAACTCTGGGTAAACCCTTTCAGCTGTCTTAACTTCTGCTCAGGAATGTTTAAGAAAAGGAAAACAGTAAGGACAACTGGTATCTAAAATTCTAGGCTGGCCTCACTGTTATTCCATGTCTTTTTATTATTATTATTATTATTCCTTGTCTTTTTAGAGCAATCCTAAATTTTATCTTCCAACATAGATTTATAGTAAACAATAATAAAAAAGTAAACAGAAATAAAAGAGATCTAAAAATCATGTATTCATTTATTAAAAAAATGCCTTATATTTATTCAGTTCTGAGAATGTAAATCAGTTTTTATTTTCATGATTGGCTTAGATGAAAGGAATAGCCAGTCATCCAAATAGGATAAACAACTACTTTCAAATTTTATTAACATATGGCAAGTACACATAGTAATTGATCATTAATTTGTTGTCATATTTTTTTATTCCAACCATTCCATCACTTGACTAAAGTCAAAAAACCAAATTAAGCAAAACCAAAAATTTTGATGTTCTAGAGAAACTATTAAAATCAAAGCCACAATATCAGAATAAGAGGGAATGAGGACTTTCTCATGGAAAAGGAAGATGAGAGTGTGTTAGGAACGCAGCCCAGTTTCCAGACCTTCAAAGACTGTTTTTTTTCAGCTTAGGGTATGAGGGTGGGGTGGCACACTCAGACGAGACACTCAAGTAGTATATATGTACTAAAATAAAATTCAAATTACTTATGTATTCATGCATTTGTTCCCTACTATTAATATGGTTAATTAAGAGAAAACCAGTGATATGCTGGGAAAAGTTGAATAGGTTAAAACAATTAAGATTGGAAAAGGGATATATACATATATTAATATGTATGTGTGTGTATGTGTGTTTCCTCTTTCTCCTTGGCACACATTCATATCAGAAGGAAAACAGCACACTTTTCAATCATTGTTTAATAATATAGGAAGCAAGCACAGTAAAAGCACATGCTAACAGAAAGAAAGCTGGGTTTAGACTGCATGTATGTTTACATGAAAGAATGGTTTTGGTTACCATTTCAATCCGCGGAATTAATGTATTTTGGTAAAACTAAGATTGATAGTTGTGCTAGCTCTTAAATATAAATGAGAGCAGGGTTCCAAGAAGTCAGAGAGGGCATCGTTATATCTAGATATTTAATAAGGTCATTTGTCTTTTCTGATGCAAAACTGAATGGCTAGAGATCGGTCTTGGGGAGAGTGTGGGGCACGCCCCACAGGTCATCACAGCTAAAATACTTGTGTGGTCGGAGAAATGGCTGTCTGCTTGCATAGCAAATGTGCACTGAATCAGAACCAGTTGTGGATGTTCACAAGACTTCTAAGGTCTTTTTGTCTTCAACTTCTAAAATTCTATTGAGGAACCTATATGCTTGTATGGCTCTAATTTCTAAATATATACAGACATTGGGCATTTGACAACAAAATGATGGGTTTATGACAAAGGGAAGTGAGTGCAGAGTGAGTTCTGCTCCTTTGGTCTGGGGGTCAGGATACCCTGGGTATCCCATGTTACCAAATACTAAAGCTTTCTAGACCTCTCGGTCGAGATCAGTCTCAGGTGAGAGAGAGGGGATATTTAAAATGTCTTCAACTTCAGTTCCCTTATCACAGTATTTTAAAGGCAGTTATGGTGTTCTTTATTTTATCTTTATCTATTTTACAAACAGTAATAATATTTTAGAAAAATATTTTTAAAATAAAATAACAGTTTGTGTTCAGAAAATAAATTAGTTCCACCAGGCAAGCATAAAAGGGAAGAATATTTAAATATTCCTAATCATGTTACAATGATTGCATTTTAACCCAATGCGATGAGTCAGCATATGGAAATGTATACACAAAAAGGCAATTAACATGATTTGGGAAACTGCCAAGTGAATGGTTCAAAGAATCCTGGAGCAGAACTTCAAACTTCTGTTATTAGTCTAATTTCACTTATTTCTTTTTCCTCCAATCCCCAGTTCTTCCATTTTATATTGGAGTACTATTTAATACATATTTTTCAGTTTTTAATTTAAATTTTTGGTAGTCTACAAAGGTTATAATTCTTTGAAGATAAAACATCACAACAAAAAACTAATTTTGGCAAGTGCAACTTGAAAAGTGTCTTTAAAAAATGGAGTCATATGATTCTTTGGAAAGTGTGAAATATTATTTTGTTACTTTAGGTAGTATAACTTGAATGTAGTTTATTAGCAGTGGTAATACACATCCACATCCTACTGCACTCAAAACCAAGAAGGTATAATTATTCACTGACCTCATAGCTCTGATAAACAATGGGCATTATGCTTTTATTCTTTTCCTAGGAATGGTTAATAAAACCAGAGAAAGGAACTAACTTACTAATATTGCTATTCTATTCACGTTTGAATCCCATGGGAGAGCTGCTAACTCCTCCTAGAGCTTGTAATGAATCAAGTAGCTTGAGGTTTGTTCTGGATTGATGGTATACCTCTTCAAAACAATCTTAACTTGAGGTACCCAAAGTGATAACTTATAGTCACTGCCCAGATACAATTTGGATCATTAAAAAACACATTTGCCTACTTAGTATAATCAAATGCAACAAATAAGTAATTTACAGAACTGAAACAATTCTAAAAAATAGCCAGATGAATTTTGGAACACTGAAAAAAAATAAAATAAAAAAAAATCCTTACATTTCCTTATATTACCTTATATACCTTATACATTATACAATCCTTATATTACCAAAAAAGTTTTTTGTTTTTGTTTTTTTAGGCTTGACTCATCATTTACAAAACCAATTCTAAAGGTTTCCAAACAGTTTTAGATCCATATATACCGGGTTGATTAAGCAATAGTCTGTCTAAATTTCATTTCTATAAATGGCTTTAAATGTTTTCCTAATTGAAAGGTAGCACAAATATGACAACAATTGATGCCAAGAAAAACTCAAATAATTTTGGAATTATACTATTAAAATTTCTTCATGAAAAAAAAATTGCCAGATGAATATATAAAAAAAGCATTAAAGAGTTATATATAGTCTTTTTTTTTTTTTTTTTTTGTAAAGATTTTATTTGACAGACAGAGATCACAAGTAGGCAGAGAGACAGGCAGAGAGAGAGAGGGAAGCAGGCTCCCCGATGAGCAGAGAGCCTGACTCGGGGCTTGATCCCAGGACCCTGGGATCATGACCTGAACTGAAGGCAGAGGCTTTAACCCACTGAACCACCCAGACGCCCCAAGAGTTATATATAGTCTTGATTAGCTGTGACTTTCAATTTATTCTTCCTTGCTGCTTGCTCTTTTATGCCAAATGGGAAATGGGTCAATAAACAATTTTCTTAGGGAT